CTACTTATGTATCCAATTAAAGATAAATGTTTAAAATGTAAATTTTTTTTAGTACTAAAGAAATTCTATTCCAAAATTCTCTACATTCTCTTTAAAAAGGAGGGAAATCATTTCCCATATAATATATTTAGTATGTGTGTATTCCTTACATGGAATATGCTGGACACACACACACAGCTGCACTGATATCATGGCAGTTCCCACAGTCTCCCTAAACCACAAGTCTCCTCTACACGCCTGTAGGAGACAACATCTATCTCTAATGCACTATGCTCCATCCCACACATAGAAATAACTGTCAAGGCAGGATGCTAGACCAAACACGGAGCACGGGAACAGCATCTAGGTCTTGGGAAAACAAGTTCATCTCAGGCAGGAACCTAATTCCTGCTCTGTGCTGCCCATTCCATGCAGACATATGTGTCTTCATATACTGCAATCACATGTATCCACAGACATAATCCTCCCATAAATAGAATTATAGCAAAATGTCCAGTTGGTAGGAGCTCATGCCTTCTGTAGTCACCCTCTGGACAGTCTGATAAATGAAATAGATGCTGCAAAATAATATGTCTACCAATCCAGAAGAATGAACTTTACGGGAACTATTTTATGGACACTGGAAGTAGGACAAGTGCCCAACACAATCAGGCCAATGCTAACTTTTCTCTTTAAGGCCCCCTTCAAACAGGGCATACTTCGATTAGATCAACAGGGGGTCTGTCCGCTAATCCCTTGCTAATCAAAGTAGAGTGGGTGGATGACAGGTCCGTGTCTTCTCAGTTTATGCAGAATGAACACAGACTGAGCCCGCTCTGCTCTATGGGTGGCCGGGTGTAAATGGACCCTGATGTCTGTTTACACCCGACTGCCCTCTGATCCAATCTGCCTAGGCAGAGGGGAACGATTCCCCTTCAGCTTTTTTTTTTTTTAGCAGACTGGATCGGATTGGAGGAAGGCGGGTGTAAAGTGGACACCGGTCCATTTACACCCGATGGTCCATAGGGCTTAATGGAGGTTCTGATAAGATCAGCTAAATAGATGGACCTGATTGGACCCTTCATGTGAAAGTGGCCTTAACCATCACTAGATGATGACAACTGAATTGTAGCGAAGGCAAAAACACCTCCCTATACTGTTGTCTTCTAATGGGATATCTTGTTTTACAAACATAAATTCAGTGAAACAGTAATTATAGAGGAAGTAATTTCCATTGAAAAAATGGCCAGCACTGATGGTACCATGGAGCAGTATTTTCTCCAGGAAAGGGAATAATTTCAGCCCTTCTTTTCCACTTTATTAATTCCTTCCATCAAGACAGAGCTTAATGTTAATATTTCAAAATGGGCCCATTTTTCAGTCCAAGTTATAAACCAAAAAAGGTTTAAAATGCTGTCAGGACTTCATGGATCACTTCCTGTTCGGATACAGATCACATGATGTGAAACACTGCTCCTGGGTGTCTGACTCATTTTGGCAGTGGGTGCCAGAGAGAAATTAGTGCCTATGTCTGACCCGCACTGCTATTGATCTGTTGGCAGGGAAGCCACCAAAGAGAACAGCCAAAGGGACCTAAACAAGATACTTATCCAAACACATCTACTAACTAATGGCCCACCATCTACTGTGGTTGTAGTTTTTGTTGTTAGTTGTAGTCATGTAACTGCTTTATGCACACAACACATCCTATAGTCCCTAGCCCATCTCAGGAGAAAGCAAGAGAGGGTGGATGCATTCCTACATACAGTGGGTGCATGGAAAATGAAGGTAGCCATCCTCTAATTGGAAGTCAGATCACAGCAACAAAGAGAAAGGATATGGAGAAGGCAGAAAGCAATAGGTACTTTTTTGTAGTTGAAGAATATGTAAGCCCAACATTTCATATTCCTGATATGTGTCTGCTGTACCATGTACTTGTGTGAAAATGTATCCTGTTCTCTTCGTATTGCTTTCTTTGTGTTAAATCCCTGAAGTGCCTGTCAGTCCTTCTGCTTTCCTATTAAAACTGACCACACTAGGCATGAAAGCACAATGTGGTCAGTTCTATAGCTGTGCTAGGAACTCAGCCTGCTCTCCTCCAATAATCAAACTTGTCCTGACACGTCCCCCATGCACAGCTTTTCACTGGGAAGATCATTGTGCTGCTGTTTCTTGTCAACCAGCTCTTATGCAGCTGAGAACAGAAGGTATGTGATCACTAATAAAAAAGGGGCAAAAAAGGGTATTTATAATGTCTCTTGTTATATCTATGCACAAATGTTTTGAATTTCATTTCTGTTTTAAACTGTATGAGTTGTTTTACAAGGTGAGGGTTTACAGATACTTGAATATATATATATATATATATATATTTTTTTTTTTTAAATCATTATTTTTATACTAGAGTTTAGTGTCATTTTAACACAACCTAATTCTTGCTTGCAGCATTTAGATCAGCACAACGCAACCAATTTAGAAGTGTTTATTCAGTCATTGTTTCAGGCGCCTGCTAAGAACCCCCTTTTAGTATATGTGTAGATTTAGTCTACGAGCAAGATATCACTTTCATTACCTCACACTGCGCCTACATTTTACGTTTTATTTATAAAATACAGAGCGCAGTATGGAGCCTGCGGTGTCCTGTAAAATGTTCACTGCATAGTGCTGCAGGAGACACTGCTGGATAGGAGAGACCTGACAGAGTAGTGTGTAGAAGAAATTGGAATTATCTTGCTGTAGAGTTCCATAGCAAGCAAAGTGCAAAGAACATTTAGGCTCCATGCACGCTAGCATTTTTTTTTTATCAGCATTTTTTTTTCTGCTCCTAGAAACTAAATAGTGTTATCCTAGGTGTCCATCCACACTACTTTAGGCTGTTAGCATTTTTTTGAGCTTCAGTATGTGGGAGCAAAAAAACAAACTTTTTGGAGCATTTTGCAAGCAGAATAAAAACGCTAAATGCTCCTAAACACTACTAAAATGCAACAAACAGCTTCTGAATGCTAATAAAAATGCTATTACCAATGGTTTTTATCAAGCATCTTTCCAGCATAAAAAAAAAAAAAATCACTAGTGTGCATGGAGCCATAGGCCTTATGCACAAGGGTTTCTTGTAAACGCTGTTTCTCTTTACATGAGCAAGTCCGCATTAAAAACTCACCTACTGTATGCTGCATGTTTCCAAACCAGTTTAGGTAAGTTTAGCAGAATTTGGTATTTGAGCATTTATTAATTCATTGGCCATATTTTAAATTTATTCTGGCCATTGAAATGAATAAATGTTGAAGTGCTAAACAATTTTTTGTAGTCAAAATTCCCTCTCCTGAACACAATTTTAGGGCATTCAGAAGACGTCCTCTAAACTCCCCTGCTACTAAACGTCTATGTGTGCATGGACACATAGGATAACATGGAGGGGAGTTCAGGGGCAGGCAAAAAAAAAGCCAAAATCCACAAAACTGTGAGTTTAGGAGCAGAAGTGTGCATGAGGCCTTATAACAGAGTTGTGATCTAAGGTTCCATGTACACGGGACACTTCTGAACGATGGAAACTGACTGCTGGAAAACATAGGTTAAAAAAATGTCTGTTTAGCCACGTTTGCATAACACGTTTATGACTGTTTGCGTTTAGAAGCGTTTTTTTTAAAGATAACCTCAGGAAACCTTCCAAAATGCCCAGAATGCACTGAAAAACAGTAAAAAATTTACTATTTCAGACATTTTTAGAGAACTAGAGAGAACAGAAGCAGAGAGAGAGCAGTATTTGTTGAGATTGGCTGTCTTTTCTTTTTTTTTTTTTTTTTTTTGTGGTTGGATGTTTCAGCCCATTTCTGTGCAGAAATTATTGCAGCAGTGTCTAACATATTTTCTTTCATGTGAAACTTCAAAGTATGGTGTACCAGGTCCATTTGAGTACCGTAAAAACGCTTTGCAAATTTTTTTTAACGCTTCCATTTCCAGATGCTGTCCAGAGCCTTTTTTCATCATGAAAAATACATGCAAACGCTTATAAATGTGTTTAGCTACGTTTACAAGCGTTTGGCGTTTGAAATGCTGATAAAATCTACTCCTGAACGCAAGTTTTGGTTCGTTAAAAGAAACGACAGTACTCAACTGCCTGTAAACAACTGTAAACAAAGATGTGTACATGGACACATAGGAAAACATTAGGGAGAGTTCAGGGGCTGCTGAAAAAAAATGCAGAAAAGCTCCTAAATGTGAGTTTATCAGTTGCAGTGTACATGTAGCCTAAATGTACCACATTTCTAATGCAGCAGCATGAACAGTAAGGCCATACGATTGCTTTTCAGCCACCAGTTCCCACTAAACCATAGGAGAATAGAGTATCTGTGCTCACTCTTGTTGGTAAAATATGGAAATCATAATGCCATATATCCAAAAGAAAGATACAAAATCATTTGATGCTGGTGTGGCCACTCATCTGCTGGTCTCCTCACCTTCTCTGGGACCCTGGAAGACTGTCCTTCCCGAGTTTATTTTTCTCCCCATGTATTCTTATGTAGAACCTAGGACCAGGGAGGGGACAACTATCCAGGCCATAAAACTCCTCTTACCTCTGCTTGTTTATATCTTCCTGGATCACCTCCCGGCTAAGAGGACAGAGATAATAAATCTAATGCACTGTGCAGTGAGCAGTTTGGAGGCGAAAAAGAGTTGATCTCAGAAGCTGAAATGCCAAACTAGGAAATGAGTAATACCAGTGACACCTGCCTGTCTGTGCAGCATGGAAGATGTGTAAATCAAAAGCTTTGCTGTGCAGAAAATAAAAATCCTTTGGCAGGTAAAAAGTAAGCGTATCATTTGTACTGTATTAAGCCATCTGTCAGAGGTTCTGCTTTAACCCTGCACAGGGGCTCTTTGTACACCATTGCAACTGGACCTGATATTATCAGACAACTGAATCATATTTTCAATTTCAATGAATGAAATCCAATAAGTAGAAATTATCAGTCAAGGTGTGCCTGAGAAAAACAATACTTCAGCGTGCACTATTTACTCACCCATAATTCTCAGTTGATTAACAATCCCATGGATAGAAAAGAATACCCAAAGTGGCTGTGAGTTGTCCACACACATGAGCATGCCACGACTGTTTCCGTTGATGCCATGGTGGACCTCCCCAATGGGCGTAAATGAAAAGCTATGGACATCCCCATTGCCCGTTGTGAACAAGCCTTGATGTACAACCCAGTACTCCTTTCTGTCCAATAGGTACTCTGGGTTAGATGGCAGATCATATGTCCGTAATGTGCTTGGATCGCAGGAGGTGATGCCAAATGATAACGAGCCATAATAAGGCAGTGGCAGCTGACCTGTCTCCACGAACAGGGTCTCGCCATTGTGCACTGGCCGCTCAGTGAACACTATCGTCCTGTTGCTCTCTTGCCAGTTAGTATATGCCATTGTTCGGTCTGGTGACAGGGTGATGTCAGCACCACGGGTTGGATGAAAATGAAGCTCAGTGTCCAATATGGTGGGCATGGCCTGTGAACGTTGCCGCCGGTTTTGACAACAAGGGATGGCATGGTTATCCGTTTGTGGAGGCATCCTGCTTAAGTTCAAGTTGGCAATCTTGGCCACCACCTGGTTATTCTCCAGTTCATTATTGTTGAAGTTAGCAGAGTCATGGCTACTTTGGGGCAGACAGGTGCTCAGTCGGGGACTGCTCAGTCGTCCTGGAGGCATGGTCTCTGCAAATGTGCTATCTGTGGGGGCAAATGGAACAGAATAATTATAAGGGACAATTCAGCTACAAAATATCATGTTATGTTCTGAATGACAGCACTAAGAGAAGCACTGGTTAGAATATCTATTTCCCTGTATCTGAAGAGATGCAATATGTAAAGACAAGAGCAATATCTATTGTTTTGTATTATGCTATTAGGCAAAATAAAACCTACAAAGCTTGGGCTTATTTCTTATCTTTGAGAATTCTCCATCCTCTAATTAAAAAATATTCCCTAACTGCATCTCTCAAAAATGCAAGAAAACGGTCTGCCAAGGAATCCATGTCGAATGACAACCTTCATGAAAATACAGCCTGAGCATATCACCAGGACTGGTAGAATATAAATATTAATCAAAGACTGCTTCACGTTAGGAAAATGTATTTGTTTTTGGGAAGGCAAAATGCTAGCTTCTGTAAATACAAATGGATTTCAATATTAGCTCAGGCCTCAAACTTGATCCTGCAGCCTATCATGCAGGAACACATATTCCTGGCATGCTTGGCCTGCAACCTGTAACTTTCCATTTGTAGCTGAAGGATGGCTTCCAGCATGCTGAGAGGCATTATATGCTGAGAGCCGAGCACCAGCTGGAGAGCCGCTATTTGCCTACTTCTGGCTTAGTGTTCGTCGTCTCAGCCAGGGTCAGAAGACACAATACTAACTCCCATCCATGTGTGGGTGGCAGATGCAATGCAGCTGCCTCCTGTCACACAATGAAGTTAGAAACCTTCTTTCCATCCTGTAGCTACACCAGCTGAATATTTACAAATGATTGGAGTGGAAATATGAAATCTTAAATGCATTGTGCATTCAGTTCTGCATGCCGATATATAATCCATCCAGGTGTGCTGTGTGTTTAATTTACTGACATTTAATTAGCTCTCGCTTCCTGTTACTCTGCGGCACTGGTGATGTAGTCAGGGCCTCACAGCTGCCCCCTGGGAAGGCTACACCACCAGTGCCTTCTAGGCAGATCTTGAGCATGCACAGCACTAGATCTGGAGCAGATTGTCAATGAACAATGGCATGTGAGGCCAGGTCTAGCCTGGTGCATGCACAGTATTAAGTCCTATCAGTAAACAACCAACTGTGCCAGATCTAGTACAGCATGATTGGGCAAGACATCTTCGGTGGGTGAGCACAATATAAGAAAGATGGCGCCGACCACAGATGACATTTTTTTTTTAAATGGCAGCTTGGGTTCCCCATCAGCAGGGGTGACAGAGCAGCCCAACAGACAGAAAGAGGCAAATAACGATTTCTAATTGTATGAGACTTTAATAAAACCGACAACAGCAATGAAAATTTAATTTAACGTGGTTGCAAAGCTCAGACATTAAATATGAACAAAGCATATCCTTCTATAGTGTGTACCTCTCAATTAAGAGTGCTTAGCCTGGGTTCACACTGATGTGGTGCGGAATCCACAGCGTTTTCTGTGTGAATTCCACACCGCATCAGAATCGCACCCCGTTCATGCGAACCGCTGTGGGTATGTATGTTAAGTTAACAACACCCCGAAATTGGTCCGCAAAATGCGCTGTGCAGAATTGGACTGCATAGGTGGGAATACCCATGCGATCTGATTCTAGTGCGGGGGTCCTACACCTTTTTGGTGCAGATGCGGTGTGATTTGAGCCATACATATTGTATGGCTGAAATCGCACCGCACACAATTCGCATGTGATTTGCACAGGAATGCGGTGCGGTTCCTGTGCAAATCACATGCGATGCGGTTCCTGTGCAAATCACATGCGATGTAGCGCACCACATGAGTGTGAACCTAGCCCAAGTGTCATTTCTGTATGCTGCTTTGTTCCTCTGCTATAACCATGAATCACTTCTGACAACTTTTTCTGACACCAAGAGAAAAATGGTGACAGGGGAGGGAGCACCATCAGGTTGACAACCTCAGCTCTGTTCCTGTGAGCTGTGTGGAGGGAGGTGTCCCTTTCCTCCAATCAGCTCCCAGAGCCTCCTCACTGAGCTCCTCTGCAGAGTGTAACTTCAGCTCTCCACCCCTGTTTTTTCTGAACTCTCAGACAAGCTTTATAAATTCTAGACTTTGAATGGATTTAGGAAAGAGAAGACTGTAGATAGGCAGGTACACATACTTAAACACATTTGTGTGACATAAGGGGGTTTACATATAAAACATTTGTTGGACGTCTGTCACACACACATTCACACATTTGTGCAGGCTTTAAGAATTTTTTTTTCCCATAATTTCTGTAATAAATTAATTCCTATGTTCATCATAGCCAGCTAGTGGCCAAAAGGTAGTACTGTATATTTTTTCTTTCAGGTATTTCAGAAAACTATACCACATTTTGGCCACTAGATGGCGCTGACGATCATAGGATTTAATGGAATACTGGAATTCCGAACAAAATGTGCTGTGCAGCCTGTCCAGAACTGTGACATTTGTCCAAGTAATGTTTAATATATAGACCCCTAGGTGTCCACCACACAAGCCGGACATAGAATAATAGTTACAAGAACAACGTTTAGGTTTAACTCTAAAGTAATGAGCTGTAAAGTTTTTTTTATTATGCATCTCCTACATACAAATCCAGGCATCGAACTTTTGTCATCTGAATGCGTACACATTGTTGTGATACCTATTAACTCCACAGCGTCTCATCTTTTATATTTAATGGAAAATGCACAGAGCATATTGAGTTTGTGTGAAAAAGAACAAACATTTTAGATAGAAATACATTTTGCATTACATTTTCATTTTGTCTGTGGTATTACATTGATGGAAGCACCTGGCTACTTTTTAATTCCATCTCCAATGCTGGCGATGAATTATAAAGATAACAGTGAGACATTTATAAACCCAAGTTTCTAAGCAGCATCAACATAGACGCCTATTGCTGAAACGTCAGGAGTCCCCAAACTACAGCCCAGAGGTCACCTCTGGCCCCCGGCTATGGGCAGTGGTGTGTCCTCAATGTGCAATGAGTGAGTATTAAGATCAGCAACAGCTGCCTATGGTCTCTGAGTCTGATGCAAGCAGGAATGCTGTAAAGGGGATTTTTTTCTTGGCCTATACCAAAATAGCCAACAGTTTATATTTTAAGCCATTGAGTTCTGTAAATAAGTGGCTTTTAACAATAGACTAGTTAAGAATAGGCAGATCAGCATGTGAAAGGAGCATCGGGTCCGACCTGTTGGCTGTTGCATACAATATTTCATATTTGCTAAAACACTAATATTTTTTATTCGTATATATTACAGAAAAATATTAAATTATTTTCTAAAGATACTTACACAAAGAAGCACTGATGTATATAAAATGCCTAGGATTCTTTACACAATCCCATCTCCATATAAATTAGTGGCCGGCTCACACCACAGAAACACAGCCCAGATGTGTTTCTGTATGTGCGTTTACATGGGTTTTTTTTTTTTGGGGGGGGGGGGTTGTTTTGGTGCATTCCCCCTTTTTTTTTGTTTACTAAAGTTTTCTGGGCTTTGGTTGTCAGGAGTCGGCACCCGCCAGCATCCTAACAACCAATAACTCTTCCCTGTGGCATCAGTTGGTAAAGGGCCACCATAAAAAAATTAATTAATTAATTTAAAAAAAAATGTAAAAAAAAAAAAAAAAAACAGCATGGGGTGGCCTTTGGGCCTGGTAATAATTTTGAAGGGGACACCACACCAAATTAAAAAACAAAAAAAAACAAATGTGTGGATTCCCCCCAAAATCAGCCCCTCTGATCCACACAAAAAACCCCACCACCTCCAGGGATGAGTCAATGCTTGTTAGGACACCGGCCGGTGCCGACTCCTAAGAAACGACCAAAATTGCAGGCAAAAATCACATTCCAGTGAGTATTTGAAGCATTTTGCTGCATTCCAGTACAGTTTAGTGTAGAAAAAATGATGTTCTAATGGTTTTGACTGTACTGAAACGCACTGCACTGGTGTGAACTATGCCATAGGAACCCATAGAACCTACTGTCCCTGAGTTTTTGATGCAGAAAAAATACACTGGACTGCATCTGGTGTGAACTGGCCCTTAGTGAGAATTCATTGTGCAGACAATTCATATAGGACCAAAGAATATGTGTACAAAAATGATCGTTTTATCTTGTTAAAAGTCTTTTGCCATACACAATATACTCTCTGTAGTCTCTAATGGCAGTACTGGCAATACTTGGGTCATTGGTTTGAATCCCAACCACGGCACCACCTGCCTGGAGTTTTCATGTTCTCCCTGTGCCTGCGCTGGTTTCCTCCGGGTACTCCGGTTTCCTCCGGGTACTCCAAAGACATCCTGGTAGGTTAATTGGATCCTGTCTAAATTGGCCCTAGTATGTGTATGTATAAATGTAAGTTAGGGACCGTAGATTGTACGCTCCTTGAGGGATAAGGGACTGATGTGAATGTACAATATATACACATGTAAAGCGCTGTGTAAATTGACGGCACTATATAAGTACCTGTAATAAATAATAAAAAAATAATGGTTTGGTAGAACTGACATGTCCTACTTCATTCATGTAAAGTGTGAATTTTACCAGTAGGTCCACTCTAAAGCCTTTTAAAGACAAGGCATTGCTTAGTGTTTACAAAAAAGTCTTCTCCTTTTAGAATTCAGAGAAAGGAAAATGTTCAAGGAGATCAGCTACTTCATAACCAAATACCAAACGAATAATGTCACAAAGCAACAAAGTGTATAAGATTACAGTGTGCCGCTAATAAAATGCTCCGCTCCATCCCGAAGAGTGAGTGTATGGAGAAAATCTTCTGTGTGAATAAACAGGGATGTCACACTAGCTGTCGTGCTGTGTTTTATATCCTGTGAAAGATCACTGAAATCCTGTGAACTTTGGTGCACAAAGCCCTGTTCTTTATCAATGTCGTCCTCTATTAAATACAACGCACATTTGTTAACCTTCACTAAACCTGCAAGAAAAGAAACATGGGAGCTACCCGTGCTTACTTGTTTTTAAGGGTGCAGGCTC